ATCGTCCAAGTAGGCGGGTTGTAGAACTACACGATCCTCGTAGCTATTGCATTTTGTCAGTAACACTAATCGTGATTACACTTAGTCTTCGATGTAATACGTGCCCTTAATTGCACCTTCTTCTCTACGCAAACGTTAGAATCTTTGTCAGAGTTTAGAAATAATATTAAAAGTTGGAACAATGCTCTTCAAGGAATCAATCAATGACTTTTCAAGGATTCCGCCATCTGCCTAGAAAATTCATTCCTCTTCAAAAGAATGCAATTCAACTGCGCCCCGATCATCGAAGTTCATCTATTATTTCACTTATTATTTCAGAAAATACGTGAGTAATTTCATTGACATATATACACAAAGGCTTCACACGTATGTTTTTCTCCAGACTTTTTCGTCGTTTTCCAAAACTGAACAATAGGCGGCATATTTCCGACTACTTCTCAGTAAACCTGCAAATAGGTTTTTGATGATCATCTTAATGATATTATGAATTAAAATATTACTAAATTTGATTTTAATAATGTGGATAGTTTTATAATCTTGCTTAAAATGTTAATTTCTTAATCTCACTTCTTCCAGTTCCTCATCGGCCATGGGTTAAGGGGGGTCAGCTGGATTCCAGCCCTGGGGTGAAGGGGGTAGGAACACATTATCGCCTTTTCACATTTATGCCTAGAATGTTTTTGAGAAAGTGCCGGAAAGATTTTCATAGAAGAAATTTTAGTACTCATCTTTGAATTCATGTTGATACCATGGAGGTTTTCTTTAGCTGCAAGCTAAAAAAAAGAAGTGTTGAAATATTCTTCCTTCAGTCAAACTATCTTCACTTGCTTACAACGACAGGATTTTTAAAAAATTTTCTACATGATTTGATGGCTTTCTGTGTTTATGGTGACTGATTTTTCGACCGCTTGATGGCGGCAGAGAAGTATTAAGACCTTATCAGCTGTCTGTTAAGACATCAACTCATTTGCACGCATAGGAGGGAAAACACGAATATGAAAGAAAATGGTTGACAACGGAACCTAGCTATGTTTCTTATATATGAGACTAGCAACCATAACGGTCGCTAGCAAGCGGGTTGAGGCAAACCCATAGATAAATGCTGTTTCAAACCTATAATTTTCTCAAATGATTTCGCACTCACGCTCACGTTTCTGAGAGAAAAATCGTATTTGAGAATGCATTGCACCCAAAAGCGAGATTTTTAGAGATTTTCTCAGTGGGTGGGAAGTGGATTTTCGCTCTAAAATATTGTTTTGCCCTAAAATCGCTGGGTCCCTTTCGCAATGTCACCCTCGCAATCACGCCCACATTCTAGAGAGAGAAATTTTCAAGCAGCGCAAATGCTCTGAAAAGCAATATTCTCGAGGAGTTCCTCAAAATTTGACCGAAAAGTGGAAAATAGTTTCAAAATAGCTCAGCTGACAGGAATGGGAAGAGCTTGAAAAGCGAACGAGAGCATAATGAATACTGAGATGGCATGTGTGTGGATCAGTAAATGGTGTGCTTCTATAAGGTTCCTTCATACTACGCCGCAGGATGCGGCATGCTGCGGCGTGCTGCCGCGTCCTGCGGCGTAGTATGAAGGAACCCAATAGAAGCATACCATTTACTGATCATGCAGGCGCAGTGAAAATATACGCTCAAGGCAGCACAGAATCGCTGAATATGGATGTATATCTATATTTGCTGCACGTTCGTGTACTCGAGTGTTCCTTCACAGCGAGCGAGCTTATATTTTCACTGCGACTGCCGCATCCTGCCGCGTGCGACGCAGCACGCCGCGTCCTGTGGCGTAGTATAAAGGAACCCATACCTAACTTCCGCAACGACCAGCATCTGGCATATTTCAACACACTTGGCATGCGCTTGCGTATTTCAACACAACCATTGCAGCAGCAGAGGGGTAGAGGACTATATGTCGCCGAAAAAGGGCGGTCCCCGCGGTCATTTGCGACAAATACGCACTTTTGTACATGTGCGGACATGCGTTCCTGCAGGGAATCCGCGCGGGACTCTTCCAAATTCGGCGACATATAGTCCTCCACCCGCAGCAGAGCATACCCTGCGTGTCGTGGTCTCTCGTTCGCGCTAGGACCTCTGCGTCCTCTTAGCCTCATTATTCCATCGTCGCATATCTAAACGATAAGGCCCGTTTTGCAACTGGCGTCTGTTCAAAACAAACGTCAAATCATTCATGTGGGTGGACCAATCCAGCCGTCGCTTTTCTTGGGATCGGGTTTATATAATAGGAGAAGATTTCTAGCTCTATAAGTTAAACACTGCTTTTGAAAATCTCGAGTGTATCAAGCTTTCTAAATTGTTCTGACTCGTAAAATTTTCGTTACCAAATGTCGGAAAATTACTGAAATCCAAACGCCAACGTGGAATTTCTGATTATATTGGGTCGTTCCGAAAGTTCTTGCGCACGATTTTCAAAAATTCATAACTCTAATCTTGACGGATTTGTACGATCAAAATTTTGCTTAAGGCCCCGGACAGACTTCGCGCGATTTGGTCGTCGCGACTGAATCGCGACGAGACAACTGTTACAATATCATTCCATGCCGATCAACGTGCATTTCGGTTGTGATACTTTTCCAGCCCGAAATTTTTGAATGTGAAATGAAAATGAATGGAAATCTTGGCGATTCAGTCGCGACGATCAAATCGCGTGAAGTCTGCTCGGGGCCTAAGAGGGGAGTTCTTTGCACGCGTACCTTAATTGTTCGTTAATGTGCACAAATGAAGGAGATAGAAACACAAAACCAAAATCACTTAAAATTTGGATTTTTCGTGTAGGGTCATAAAAAATCGGAAACTTGCAACAAAAATCGGAGCAGCCGGTATTGTAAGTTCTTTCATCAGCTCTTTCTAACATTGCAAAGTTTGCACCGATTGAGCGTCTCTATGAAAAGTTATGATTTCCCTGAAAAATGCCAAAATAAATCAAATTCGCCCTTTTGTATTGCTTGCTCGAAAATCGTAACTTTTCATAGAGACGCTCAATCGGCGCAAACTTTGCACAATAAGAAAGAGCTGGTGAAAAAACCTATAGTATTGACTGCTCCGATTTTTGTTGCAAGTCTCCGATTTTTTATGAGCCTACACAGAAAATTCGAATTTTGACTAATTTTCTTGTATCAATCCTATCTATGCAACAGATAATTATTAGGAAGCAGCCAAGATGTCGTTAAAAAGGGCATGACTTACTCTTTCATACAAAAATAAAGGCAGTCAAATTGGTTCGAAAAAGTAAAAGTTATGAATTTTTAAAAAGCGTGCGCAAGAACTTTCGGAACGACCTAATATAATAAAGCTTCTTATAGGTTGAAGCTGATCTCAGAATCTGTAATTATACATCACTTTTCTGCAAACATACGTTTTCCACAAAGCCTTGTTCACGTGGGTATCACCTATGTTTGAAAGTGCGTTACTGTCTGTATAGAGTCGATTATCAGTGTCGATGACATATTTGAGGAATCAACTGATTTGTGACTCGCTTCCAAGCTTTTCACTTCAGATATAATGAAGTTTGGCTATCATACATACTTATGAATCGTTTGCTTATGAAAAAAAAGCCTTCGTTTCTTATTCCAATATGGAGAGGCTGGCAAAGCTTTGTATAAACATCATTATTGAAAATTTTATATTGAGTTAATTCATAACGCGAGTTTTTTTACCACTTCTTTGAAGTGCTAGTTTGCAAGGCAAAAGTAGCTTTCTTGTAGACTTTTTGTGATATATGGAAGAGCGTTTCGTTTTATGCCTTTACATATTAGATCGGTGCAAAAATTTTTTTCCGGTTTCTTTGAAGTCACCCGCTATGGCAATAAAGATAAACAAGCACCTTAAAATTAACTGTCGCAGAAACTCTTCCTCCTTCCAGCGTCTATGTCGCAGAATCTCTTCCTTTTTCCAGCATCTTTGTCTAACAAGGGAACAATACTTGGTGTCCTTGGCCTTTTGAGACGAAACATATACCATCACGCTCGTCTTGAAACGCTGATTCTGTCGTTTCTCTAGAATAAGTTATGAAGGATTTTGACGTCAATGGTCAAGAGAAATACGGTCGAAAATGCCTAACTTTCAAAAAGAAGCTTGATTGAGACAATGCAAAACTGAAAAACACAGAAGGACTCGGACCTAAACCTTCATTAACTTATGAGACTATCGGACTAGCCACTACATCACTTGTAGCTGCGGCTTTGCATTCCGACCATGTCTCCTTTGGCGCAAAAATCCTTCATAACTTTTTTCCGAGAAACGATTGGCAAAAACGGAAGTCAGATTCGGAATCAGCTCTCCAAGACAAGTGTAATGGCATATATTTCATCTCAAAAGGCCATGGACACCGATTATCGTCTCCATGTAAGGCCCATGGCACGTACACACAGCTGAGGAGGGAGGGGATCTGAGAAGGGACGCATCATATCTCGCCGCTCTAGATACCTGTATTCTTTTTTGTCTATTTAGCTTATAAAATTCTCGTATCCTGATACTCAAGGGATGCTAAGTAATCGCCATGCAAGCTGAGAATTTAATTTGTATGGTCTCCTCCGTGGGCGGCTCTGATTTTCGAAGTCAGGTTCGATAGCAATCCAGTCAAAACTTCAAGTTTGAAGCTCCGCGTTAACCCAGAGATGTCTCTGTGTTCCGTTTTTGAAACTCAGAGTTATGCTTATTAAAACTCCGAGTCTCAAAGTCCCGAGCTTCAACTCTCAAGATCGGAGTTTTGCTGTTTGGAGCTGTTACTCACTTTGTTGCAAAAGCGACGTTAAATTGGGACTCGAACCTGGTCTGCGCAAAGAATCTCATCACTAAACCACTAGACCACAACACATCTTTATTGAAATTGCTTTGCATTGCATTTTCACTTCACACGTCAAAACACGCCGTCTCAAACTCTTTAAAGGCACTTTCTTATCTTATCTTTGTATTGTTTCTACGTTTTAATCCCTCATTTTCTAATTTTCATTTCCATCGTTTACCTCAACAGACCGGTCTTGTGCGCGGCAAGCTTCAGAACCGAGAGTGCACAAAGTGAGTTTCCCTGTATTCCTTTGAAGGTATTTCCGTATTGACATCACTACTGCTAAGTCCTAGATGCGCTCAAAGTCCCGGTTTTGATAAGTTAGAAATCAATGCCTTATTGCCGTTTTCCGATATCTTCACCGAAACCCGCGGAAGTATCATATTGATTCTGGCACATCACATGATATTCAGGCACAGAGTCACGCGTGGAGTGCGGCCCGCCTCACCTGGGGGGTCATATTAAGGGGTCAGGGAAGGGAGAGCGGGTTGTTATGGAGGTGATACTGATGTTAGCGATGACATGGTTACCAATGTCAAATGAGCACTTTATGCGTTTTGACTTAACGTCGTAAATCTACGAGCAGAGAGCTTAACCGAAGAGCCCTAAAAGCATAAGAGCTTCATTTTCGTAATTAGTAATTGTCGAATCTCCCTGTGAGCCAAGTTGCAGCGCAATTTGAGGTTTTCAAATATTGGTTTACGCATTTTCGAACATATTAATTTTGTACCAAAGGTGAGCTGACTGGTTTTTGCAGCTTACATATCAATTTTCTAGCAAGTAATCAGTCTCTAAAAGGGATGCTTTATCGGTTCAATGAGAACCAGTCGAACTGAATAGCGGAAATACTAGGCCCTTATCTAGGGCCAACAGCCTTGGGCGCTTTCAAAAAAGCAGGTAAAAACGTCGTTTCGAATGCTTTTGACTTGACAAGCACTTTAAGATGCCTGTAGGCATCACTTAGATAATCGCCGGGGGCAGGCGGCCATGCGATTTAAAAGCGGTTGGGCACCGGAAAAATAGTTCGCTGATTTCTGGCGGTGCGCTTGTAGATTTTTGGAAGAATTTTAGCGAAATATTGGACGAATGATTGGGGAACAATCGCGGTTTCCTTATAGATTAGCTGTGGCGCAGTGGCCACATTCTCGCGGACTTTCCGCAAGAATATGCAAAATTTTCGGGGGCCGCACGGTCCTTTGTGGAGGACTGCGCAGCCCCCAGGTACTTTCCGCTGAGAAAAAGTACCTCAAACTTGAGTTAAACCAACGGTGACACCTCTGCCACACAGAGTCTTGCCTGTGCTCGACGCATGCCCGAAACTGCGTCAAAAGAGTCTGAGCGCCTGCTGAAAGTTTGGCCAGCGTTTGCTGAGAGAGATTATTGACGAGCGCCTGCAGAAAATTCTGTCTTGCTGCCCGTTAGCAGAACATTAGACAGTAAAGGAAGTACCGCTCGCTGAAGGTTTGGCCACGCCCCAAAATCCTGCTGACCGCCTGCAGAAAAGCGCGAGTTTGCGGAACGCCTGCTCCCGGCGGTTATCTGAGCAGATACCTGCGCACGAATTCGCACAATGTTGTCATGAGCGGCACAGTTGGATGCAAGAAAACTGCATCCAACTGTGTCGCAAGGTTTGTGAATGCTTTGAACTTTCGAAATGTTTTCAAACCAGAGGACTGAGACGGTGCGCAAGAAGAACCGATGAATTCGCTAGAGCAGGCAGTGAGTGGGGTGGGCAAGATTCTAAGCTTTGCAAAAGAAATCATCTAGATGTAATCGGCTGTGTCGACTTGAAAACACCATCAGATTTCAGTATATGAGCAGAAAGGGTGTTTGAATGTTCGTGTCATCGCTAATGCCGTCAGATACATAAGATATGTGTACGCAGACTTTCCTGGTTCAGTGCACGATTCTTATGTGTGGAATCAGCGCGGAGCAGGAGTTGTGTCCAGGGAAGGGAGGCTGATGGAAGGATATCAGCTTCTAGGAGATAGCGGGTATGCGAATGGAGGAGGCATCATGACTCCTTGTCGGCCTAGAAGCGTCCGTGCCGACCGCAGAAAAGAGGCATAAACCTGCGAACATTGTAGAATCAGGCAAAGTGTCGAGATGGTATTTTGCGCTGGAAAAGAAGGTTTTGTATCTTATCTTACGGTATGTATGTTATCTTGTTAGACGAGTTGAGGGCTGCTCCTGAAACAGGCGTGAAGAATAATAATTGCATGTGCGGTGTTACCATATCCATGTGCATCAATGCGACGATGAGGCGCATACAAGGAAGAAGAAAAGGGTTGTACTCCATCCTCCTTTAGGAGAGGACATAAGACGTTACATGACTGAGATGTTGTAAGGTGAGAAAGCAACTGCATGGGAAGGTCGTCATGTCAAGGAGCAAGAAATTTAGTTAAAGACACTTCTTTGTTTTTGACCAAAAAAACTATTGGAGAAGAAATTATTGTCGTACTAATATTTATCATTGCTAGATTATCAATATGATATCATGATGTTTATCATATATTATTATACTACAATGAAATTATTAAGTAGTCTGATGATTTTTTTTGTTTTCAACCTCTGATCAATTTGAATTTTTTTGTGCATATCTCTGTCTCTATATAAAGCAGAAAATCTATGAGTGCGTTTGTGTGTTTGTGCACATTCGGGTGCAGGTTGTGCAGGGTGTGCAGGTTGTGCAGGTTGTGCAGGTTGTGCAGGGTGTGCAGGGTGTGCAGGTTGTGCAGGGTGCGGGTTGTGCAGGGTGTGCAGGTTGTGCGCAGGGTGTGCAGGGTGTGCAGGGTGGGGAGGGGGTAAGTGAACATGCTGATTCGAATACATTATTGACAAGACCGGGCGGAGCCGGGTTTGCCAGCTCGTATCATCATATCATAAGCTACAAATAGATTAGGTGACTAGGGTTAGATAGTGACTTTTCGGTTTTATACGTTTGAGAACGTATCCTTGTGAACTTCACACTGCACTGTAGCTAAATTCGCGTAAATATAAAAATTTTTACTTTTATCTTCTCGATTTTATTGAATTTTGTCATCTTTATTGAAATTTATTTTCACAAAATCCTTTAATCATCAGAAAAGCTCGTGTCATTCATTGCAGCTGCTTGACTAGATGCCCAGCGGAAATTGACTTCAGCAAGAATTCGTGGAGGAGTTACAATAATTTTGATGATTTTGTTTGCCGTGTTGGTTGAGCATTTGCGCCATTATATTTCTTTTTCCTAATGTTATTGAGATGAATAAAACGTTGTCTAAAGCATTAGCGTTGTAAGTAAGTATCGCTATGGTATGAGATTAAGAATTTACAGTTCACCGCAGCATGAATTGCATACCATATCGCGATCAGCGCCCTGATAAACCCCAAGTTTCGACCAGCTTTGTGGTTTTCTCATACCGTACAGCTAACGTACTCTCCTATACGACGCCGTAGTGAAAAATGAATACCATATTCGTGATCAGCGCACCCGAATAACCTCCTGGGCCAAGATTTTACGAAATTTCAAAACTTTGAAGATTACTGCGCACCATGATACCTTCATCATGCCTGCTGAAACTACGAACATGTACTCCGGATTACTTTTTAGCTGGCCCCCTTTTTGTGCACTTTTCTCTTTCTCTCACCAAAATCAGAGTTATCGCAGAGCTCGGCTGCTGTTGGGGCCTTTGGTGGCGCTGTTTTATGTGCACAACAAAGTCTACAATGTTGCGCTACTAGGAATAAACTACCGGTTACGGAGTATCCTGCCTTATCATTGCTTTCCAGATCTGGTCTGTCCAAGCACCCGTTAAGAGGGTCAAAAAGGTGCGCGTTACCTCATAGATAATCCAGAATTAACTCTGAGTCATAACTCTGAGTTTCGACTTTACTACCGAACCGATTTTCTTTCTATGAATCCTACGAAAACGCTGTTAGTTCTGGTAAATATTTATAGTACAATAAGTGAAAATTGGATTAACCCTTCGATGGTTACTGTTGCAAGTTGTTTATCAAAAAACTCAATCCCATTTGTCCTGTTGAAAATACGCCTAGCAGTGCTATGTTATTTTCTCAGTACAACTTTACCACGTTTTGATCGAGTTTTTGGAAAAACTATGACTTTGAAAACAGGAGATGGTTTTCTGGGGACGACATCCTGGCATAAGGCATGCCAGAATTTGCCGTACAAGCTGAGATTTTCACTTTTTCGTAAAAATCTCAGTTTGTGCGGCAATATCCTGGCATCCATTATGTCCAGGTACCAGGGTATGGGGAGCTTTATAAGAAAGGCAGACGAAGAAGAATACAGATATCTAGAGCAGCGAGATAGGACCCGTCCATTCTCAGATCTCCTTCTCTCTCCAAAGGGGTTGTACCGGTATGCGGGCCTAAGTTTCGCATTATTTTTGAATTTTCAATCAGGACTTTTAGCGGAACTTTGATAACCATCAGGTAGGGCGAACGTTTTGCTAATCAAAGCCCGATTTTTCGTCTTTTCCCAGTTTACCTTCTTATCAAATAATTTTGCAAAAGTGTTGATTTATGAAGAAATCCATAACGCGTAATCGCACCAAACACTAGCAAAATCTTTGGCATATCGAGGCCCCAAAATTTATTCTTACTATCACTAATCTTACAAAGGGAATGAACGATTGTCTTCAATATGATTACCACACTCAGAATACGACGGAGCGTGCTCGTAAATTTGAAACATACTCTTATCTTGCTGCAGATTTTGCGTGATTTGCAAAGGAAAGGCAACTACTAAAAAGGAAAGTTAAGCAAAAGGGGAAGAGATAGGGATAGTAGAATTTCTTCGCATCTTGAATGGAAATCTTGGCAGGGAAGGTAATAGTACGATGTATGCACAAGTACAACACACACTTTTGGTACATCACTACTGTTGCTCAAATCTCGACTTTCTAAAGGAATCCACCAAGTTCAGAAAATAAGAGCAGAATGTGAAAACCGCAAAATGAAAAAGGGTAATAGAACTTTGACCATTTGTTTTGGTACTATGACAAAGTACTGCAAGGAAATACGAGTGCGCGGTCATCACCAGTTATTATATTAGGCTGTCCTGTAAGTCTTCATATAGGAACCTCGAACTTGATATTTCTCAACAACCAGGGCATTAAGAGGTTACAAATTTGTGGCAGTGTTTCTCTGTGAATAAGCCATATCCTCTCCTATGATATAAACCCGATCCCAAAAAACGAGACGGCGAGGATGGTCCGCCCACATGTATGCTTCAGCGGGTGTTTTGAATAGACGCCAGTTTCCGAACGAGGCCTTATTGTGTAGAGACGCAACGGTGCGATATGAGGTCAAGAGGACGCAGAGGTCCTAGCGCGAACGAGAGGCCACGACACGCAGGGTACGCTCTGCTGATGCAATGGGTGTGTTGAAAGACGCAAGCGCGTGCTAAGGGTGTTGAAATTGCGGGCTGGACATTGTTGCAAAGTTAGTTATAAAAGCATACCATTTGATCCGCTCACATTCGATCTCAGTATTCATTATGCTTCCACATTTCCGCCAAATTTTGAGAAAATCTCCCAAAATCTCGCTTTTGGGAGCTCTTGGCTGGGTGAATTCGACTTTTTCCCTCCAGATTGTAAGCGTAAGTGCGAGAGTGACATTGCGAAAGAAAGCTATACAGCGATGACTGGGGCAAAACAAAATTTTAGAACGATATGATCCACTTTTCCGCCAAATTTTGTGAAAATCTCCCAAAATCTCGGTCTTGGGAGCTCTTGCTCTGGGTGAATTTGATTTTTCCCTCCAGATTGTAAGCGTGAGTGCGAGAGTGACATTGTGAAAGGAAGCTATACAGCGATGATTGGGGCAAAACAAAATTTCAGCACGATATGACCCACTTTTCCGCCAAATTCTGAGAAAATCTTCGAAAATCTCGCTTTTGGGAGCTTCTGCTCTGAGTGAATTCGACTTTTCTCTCCAGATTGTAAGCGTGAGTGCGAGAGTGACATTGCAAAAGGAAGCTGTACAGCGATGACTGGGGCAAAACAAAATTTTAGAACGATATGATCCATTTTTCCGCCAAATTTTGAGAAAATCTCCCAAAATTCGCTTCTGGGAGCTCTTGCTCTGGGTGAATTCGACTTCCCTCCAGATTGTAAGCGTGAGTACGAGAGTGACATTACGAAAGGAAGCTATACAGCGATGATTGGGGCAAAACAAAATTTCAGCACGATATGACCCACTTTTCCGCCAAATTCTGAGAAAATCTTCGAAAATCTCGCTTTTGGGAGCTTCTGCTCTGAGTGAATTCGACTTTTCTCTCCAGATTGTAAGCGTGAGTGCGAGAGTGACATTGCAAAAGGAAGCTGTACAGCGATGACTGGGGCAAAACAAAATTTTAGAACGATATGATCCATTTTTCCGCCAAATTTTGAGAAAATCTCTCAAAATTCGCTTCTGGGAGCTCTTGCTCTGGGTGAATTCGACTTCCCTCCAGATTGTAAGCGTGAGTACGAGAGTGACATTACGAAAGGAAGTTGTACAGCGATGACTGGGGCAAAACAAAATTTTAGAACGATATGATCCACTTTTCCGCCAAATTTTGTGAAAATCTCCCAAAATCTCGGTTTTGGGAGCTTCTGCTCTGGGTGAATTCGACTTTTCTCTCCAGATTGTAAGCGTGAGTGCGAGAGTGACATTACGAAAGGAAGTTGTACAGCGATGACTGGGGCAAAACAAAATTTTAGACCGATATGATCCACTTTCCTCCCATTGAAAATATCTCTGAAAATGTTACTTTTGAGCGGTTGTGGCAATACATGTACTGATCAATTGAAATTTCACTCAAGAAAATTATAGGTACGAAAGACTTTATTTATGGGTGTGCCCTACCCGCTTGCTAGCGACCCGTAGGGTCGCTAGCCTTATATATAAAGCTGAATGTCTGTTTGTCTGTCTGTCTGTATGTCTGTATGTATGTCTGTACGTATGTTCCGAATAGAAAATTCCATTTCTGAACCGATCCGGACCAAACTTGGCACACATACACTACGGGCCCCGGCGGGTGTCATAGGCTACTTTTCGTCATCGATCGATATCGATTTTATCGATTTTTATCGATTTTTTTGCTGAGTTCACCTACGGGGCTGGGAGTTGGCACAGGGGGGGAAGTGAGCATGGGGATTCCGAATACAATATTGGTTTTCGGGATTATCGATTACTTTTATCGATTTTATCGATTTTTTTGCAAAGTTTGAGCTAGGGGGCTGGGAGTTGGCACAGGGGGGTAATCGAGCATGGGGATTCCGAATACAATATTGGTTTTCGGGATTATCGATTACTTTTATCGATTTTATCGATTTTTTTGCAAAGTTTGAGCTAGGGGGCTAGTTGGCACAGGGGGGTAATCGAGCATGCTGATCATTCCCAAGGGGGGTAATCAGCATGCTCGATTACCCCCTGTGCAAAATCCCAGCCTCGCATGTCAAAATTTACAAAAAATCGATAAAATCAATAAAAGTAATCGATAATTCTGAAAACTAATATTTATTCGGAATCCCCATGCTCACTTCCCCCCCTGTGCCAACTCCTAGCCCTGTAGGTGAACTCTGCAAAAAAATCGATAAAAATCGGTAAAATCGACATCGATCGATAACGAAAAGTGGACTGTGACACCCGCCGGGGCCCGTAGTGTATGTGTGCCAAGTTTGGTCCGGATACGGCGGAGCCGGGTAAGCCAGCTAGTAATCACATATTTGCGAGAACCGCTTTGGACGAAGTTTCAAGATTTAACGCATTATTTTCCTTAATTTCTAGCCATCAGAAAAAGCAGCAAGTGTATGCATTAGATTTCTGTTGAGAAGAGTATATGCTTGACCGAGTGGGAATTTCGCGAAATCGTTTTGATCTAAGAAACGATTATTTTCGTTTTTTCAGAAATTCGGAATTTCTGGCTTGAACCTCAATGCGGATAAAGCCTGGTGCGAACTTGCAAATGCCATCTTGTAGAGCTTGCTTTGGTCTGTCAATGGTAACCTGAAAAGGCAAGAGTGTGGCAGCCACAGCTTTTTTGGGGTTGTGCCACCCCATTCACTATGTCAAAAAACATTTTTAGCGAGTAATGTTTATACGGTTCGATGGTTCAAAGCTCGTAGGTTTCTCGGAAGTGATTTGAGCCTGATTCGTCTTTCATGCGCGGAGTACCAGGTAATGAAAGCACAGCCACTAAAAGCGAAAAGTTGAAAAAAAGGAGATTTTGGTCGGCTTTTTATTCCACAATTTGGAGGTCTTTTGGAGCGGGATTTCTGAGGTGGACAAGGAAGGAATACGGCTTAGTTCGCCTCAGAAATGAGTGCAAAAGGATCTAGCTAATTCATCTTTGAAACGAAGTTAGTCATGTTCGAGAATGACCGCCTCACTCAGGTGGCCCAGTATCTAGAAATCTCAGAACTCGCTCAAACTTTGTCCACAGGAGTTATTTGACATGTTAATTATGAATATATTACTCGTTATGATTGGTAGGACCTCTTTATCATGCTAGTTAGGTGTACGAAGACGAGTCAAAATTTATGTGCTTGTATTTCGCATAATGGGGTTATCTGGCAGACTGCTTACGAATAACATGTTATCGCTAATATCAGTACCCTTTGATTCGATTGGGAATATAACCTTTGATTCAACTGGCTTGGCTCCTGGAAGGCGGGGCTTCGTGACTTAGTTGAGGCTAGATAATGACCAGAGAGCAAGCGCGCGAGAGGAACGCAGACTCGTCGCGTTCGCGAGCGGCCTTAGTTAGGTCACAAAGCCCCGCCTTCCAGGAGCCAAGCCAGTTGAATCAAAGGTTATATTCGATTACGACCCCTTTTGTTTTGACTCCTCAATACGGATCCCCAGGTGTGGCGTGCCACAACCCACGCTTGACTTTGGTCATAACAGGCCAAGCAGCTATTCTGCAATGATGTTCAGCCAGGAACATTTCTAATAATTCATTCGCTGCGGTATATCATATTTTTGACACGAAGAGCGGAGTTTTCCTCATCAGGCATGTGAACGCAGACAACAGCTACGTGTTTCTCACAGCTAACAAAGGGTTTTCAGCGAGCGAACGCTTCAGAGCAGTGGCAAAGTCATGTGTGAATACTTTCATTCACATTTTATTTGAGCTTCTATTGAAAACTCGGAATTACCTCCTTTCTGTCCCCTATTTTCGTTTTGAAAGCTTTTATATAAATGGTCATTAATTGAAAGAGCATATCTACTTATTCTTTGAGCACGCCTTCTTGAATGGACCAGGGATGCCTTTGTGACTGTTTTGCATCGCTTGGCTCACCTGTTTACAACGATAAGCCTCTGGATCCTTCAGACTTGAACAAATGTATACAGAAGTATCGAGCTTATTTAGCCCAACGAGCGCAGGTAAGGTTTTTTAATTCGCGGAAACTTGAGTAGGAATATTTGTGTAGTCTCTCTTAGCTGGTGTAAATTATAAAACAATTGGAATCGTGAATATAAAGCTGGATTTCCGTAAGTCTATTGTCTAACTGTATGGGAAATTCACTTTGCTACGACTGCGGATTTTTTGAGAAAGTTTTTCTAATTCAGACAGCTCAGCAAATGCGCGCTGCTAAGGTTTTTTTCAAACTACTTTTCTTTGCAGCTGAAAGAGCCTGAAAAGATGTTGGATCAAAGACCTAGTTAAATAAACAAGCAATGAGTCCATCTAAGAACCAAAGATTCCCTCCCAAAATTGCATACTTTTGCGATATTCAGTACATGCATAAATTTATTGAGCCTGAAGTTTCTGTGGTGTGAAAGAGAAAACACGAAGAGGAGGTATCATTAGCTGGTTTTTGATGCCCATAAATTATCGCTGCGAAAGAAATTCTTTTGATTCTTTCATGCTCTTAGGCGTACTCACGAAAATTTCGTTTCTAAACGGTAAATGAAGAACAGCTCAGATATTTTCCGTAATTAGGAAAAACTTATCTGTGTGTTTGGTCTGTGTTTGCTATCATGAATAAGATTGGCTCATTGCCATTGCGAGATAATGCCAAAACACATGCGGAGCTTTTAGCTAGAAGATGCACAACTGCGCTTTGATGACTCTCTGACATTTGCAGGTTACCGAGCAGCAGCATCCTCTTATCATCATACGGAATTCTGATGCATCAGCTTCAAAAACTCAAACAACGACACCTTCGGTTTATATACAAGTAATACTCAATTTTCTGCACTCTGTGGACAGCAAAGAGGCATCATACTTTTGAAGCGCGCATTATCTTCTGTCACTATACCAGATAAAACTAATGTGCTGCTTTTGAGCGAGCAGTCTAGAAAGACCCTATATCATGCGCATTAATTTTACTTTATGAGCCTACTACGACATAAGTGAGAATAAATATTTGACAATCTCTTGCACATGAATTACATCTCCACCATAGTGCCGCATTCAAAGACGCTGATTGGTACATTCAGAAAAGATGACGGTGTAAGTCAGATTTTAGAGGTGCTTCTTACTATTGTACGATATGAGCTGCTGCTTGAACGGAATAGAATGGTTCACCACAAATCTCCCTATTATTTCCCAAATGAGAAGCCTGGGTACCCATTGTTTGGACACTGCCAGCCCTTGAAACAGGGAATGACCCTGCCCGCCCTGCTTTCCCTATCCTCTCTCTTCTCTTCTTCACAGCCTACGATAGGGTATAGGGTGAGGTTTTGACCTGAACATGTAATAATCGAAACCGCGCTTCTTCGATAAAAACTGAGATGCGGATCGCAATAACTGCAAAATTTGAAGAAATGGCGTCTTTTCAGATAGCATAATCACCGCTAAAGTTCTTCTGTAGTTTAGAAACTGGATTGCTTGCCGCTATGGCCACCATCATACCGATTCAGCGTTGGCAACAGATCGCAGAAATGCGATTTAAAATCTGGCCATGATTTTATAGATGTCTGTTGAGAACAATTTCTCAGTTCCATGGTCCTCGGTGTAAACTGCAGCATTGAAAAGTTCATGCTTGCTTCTGTCCAATTCTTGAGCACAATGACCTACCATGACAACAGTGCTTGAGCAGATTCATGAAGTGTATCAGATGGGGTAGATTGCTTTCTTGAACATAAGAAACCTTCCCCTTGCAATTTATTTCTGCAGTGCGATTCGAGAGGTAACATAGTCAGGGGCCCTGCTACTGTACCGCATCAAAATTTAGCTCTATTTGGACGAACGCAAAGACGACGTCCACCCAAAACTGAGTGTATAACTTCAAGGCGTTATAATAGCAAGACTCCTGGATAATTGGTTGCTTAGATCCCACAGGATTTACACTCTAAAAGTTACCTGACCGTGCCGACAATCAGTGTGGGTGGTCTAAAGATGATCTTTGGTATGCCCGAAACTAAGCTTCAGAGTAATGCAAATTGCGCGAAATACCCCTTTACAGGGGACAATTTTTCGGCATTCCTAGGTTGCATTCGAAAAGGTCTTCTCGCTTCAGAATTTACCCTTTGCAACGGAACTTGAGCAACTACTTATTAGAGTCCGTTATTGTACTGCGTCATCGTCTGTAAACCTTGTTGGATGTTTGCCACTCTGTACTAGCCCAAAGCTCTTTAAAAATTGAAACTTTCAACTTTACTTCTACGATAGTCGCACGTAGCAGACTTACATGTGACATCATTTGATGTAGTGCTATAGAAGTTTGCAGATTGAACACCACTGGTAGACAAGCAGTAGAAGAGCAAATGCTAAAAAAGGCGTTTATTCTAAGCTACCACTTTCAATTGGATAGCTCCGACGCAGAAGGGTCCAGAGTTAAAGGTCGTCCGCGAAGGTCCGGAATTATGATACGGGTGACTTATCGTGTGTGTGCAGTCGCATCGCTTTTTTTCATGGTCTCTTTCAATCATGAAATGTCTTTGAACTTGACAACGATGCATGCGCAGATCGCGGATGGGAGATAAGAGTTATGTTGCTGAACTCAGCAATGAATGCCGATCTCCGAACTGTAGTCCTGCAAAACGATAGTTTCAAAGATACAATTTAACCATTTTATCACATCATTTCTGTTGAAAACACTGCAGGATGGGTTATCATGATGGAATGGCGCAGCGCGGTGGTGGTTCATCGCAGAGGGTACGCTTTTGCACTTTTGTTTACGCCAAAACCTTCAAAAAAAGCGTTATTCAAAAAAGATTGCAATTTCAAAGATCAGCATTCGCCGTTGACTCCAGCAACTTATATTTCATCTCAAACGGCCACTTCAACTAGAGAGGATTCCTCATAAGTTGAAAATGTGTCTAGGTGTGAAAAAGTTATTTCGTTTGAATTTGGGACCACATGCTAATCCATCTCGGATATAAAATCATGAATCCTGCAATTTCCAAGTTACTGATGTATCGAGACCTTGTTCGTAGTTTATTCTTTTCGTTGTTTTCTTACGAAGTGGTTGATTTATGGCAAAGTACCTGTATCATTTAGAAAGATCGAAATTTCTCCACATGATCTGCGCTTCATTTTGAAACAATTTAATGCTTAGTCTAATCTCAAAGCAAAGATATATACTGGAAAGGCGGCTCGCATTATGCTAGAAACTTAAACGACGGTTCTTATTGTTAGTATTAGCCCGTAATAAACCCCCATCAGGGCATCTTTCTTGAGGCGGACCGAAGTTGATCTCATCGCGTTTCAGCACATTGCCAGGGGAGCGATTGATTTGAAGCAGATCACTTACTGAACGTTCGCGTTTTCAGAGGTGGAACGTTTCTGCCATTTATGCATTATTAGTCAAATGGAGACCAATGCGTTCAAGGCAGACCCGTGGTTCGAGTGCGGCTAGCGGCACATTTTTGCTACTTGCCCTGACGACCTTTGATAACGGCCGTTATCGAAAAATCGATGATAGCAGCTATCAGAGATTTCACCTAAATGTAATCGATGATAGCAGCTATCAGAGATTTCACCTAAATGTAATTTTTCTTCGTATGAGTGCCAAATTATTGTGGATTTGTTTTATCTTGTTGTTTGCTATCAGAGATTTCACCTAAATGTAATTTTTCTTCGTATGAGTGCCAAATTATTGTGGATTTGTTTTATCTTGTTGTTTGCTAGGTGAAATCTCTGATAGCTGACACCTAGCAAACAACAAGATAAAACAAATCCACAATAATTTGGCACTTAGCAAACAACAAGATAAAACAAATCCACAATAATTTGGCACTCATACGAAGAAAAATTACATTTAGCGAAAAACGAATAGAAAGGTAAATTTACCTCTTTGTCATTTGAAGCGGTTTTTCCGTAAAAAACGTGTATCATCTGTAAGAAAAACGCAAAAGAGACTTTTTTCGGTTTCGTCGCGCAATCAGCTGTTCATCGATCCTCACTCACTTAAGCGCCCGAAATTGTGCAGTTTTGGGAGTTTTGCACCGCAGAAGAACGTCAGCTGCGTGTTTCGTAAGTTTGGGAGCGACTTACGGGGGTTTTCTCTGTGCTCTCCTCTTTAGCACAGTATTTACCTTATGTCGTCGCCCGGCTCATCTCCGATGACTCCGTCGGGAGCTGATCTCCCTGCCGGGCTTCATCTGGAGCTCATCTGTAGGGTGACCTTGCATATTTACACCACGGAAAAGTGGGCAGTCCTCATCTCACCCGACAAAGCTTCATGTGAAGGCCTCAGGGGAGGTCATCTCCCGTGACCGAACTTTACTACGGGCCATTATCTCAATTGTTGCTGTTTTCGATTCCCCCTTTTAGTTTTGCCGCTGTTCCGAGATAGAATGTTCCCCTGCCATCGCGCCTTGACCAACGATTAGCTTTGTCCATAGATTTAATTTATAGACTTATAGTCTACTTGCCTATCAATATGCAAATTGAGGTACAAGTGCGATCCAGGCACAAACGACGTGTTGCATGCGTACATTAGTCTTTTCTCCCTTCTTCCTCGTCTTGGCTGTTCTTTGTTCTTCTTTACTGGCTCTGGCATCGATCATGCTGAATGATATAGCTTTGTCTAGATGGTGCAAATTTGAAAACAAGCTCTCCAACCAATTTACACTCCTTCGTTAATTCTTGAGAGGATTCTCGTTTCAACTAGATGCAAAAAATGTGCGTGCCAAAAAACACCAAACTTTGCCTTTGGAAAAACTTTGCTGTGAAGAATTATACTACAGCGGACATCAGAATGATGCTTCGAAAATGAAGAACAAATCGTAAAGCAAATGACTTATTCGAATGTTACCGGTACTTTGTCGAGCATCAATCGCAACATCAAAAAATAGGTGACAGAATAAATTCTCTACGAAATTATGAAACGACTTGATTACGAGGATCAGATCATAAGCTTATATCGAGACTAGCGGCTCTAAGGGTCGCTAGCAAGCGGGTTGGGGCAAACTCATAGATAAATGCTTTTCCAAACCTATAAATTTCTCAAACAATTTTCCGATTTATCAGTATATGTATTACTGCAACCGCTCAAAAGCGCGACTTCGGAGATTTTCTGAAAATCTGGGGGAAAGTGGATCATATTGTCCAAAAATAGTGTTTTGCTCTGGGATCGCTGTACAGTTCCCTTTCTCATGTCATTCTTACACTGCTTATTGGAGAGTAAAATTGAATTCAAGCAGAGTTGCTTCCAGAAAAGAGATCTAGAGATTTTCTAAAAATCTGGGCGTAAAGTGGAAAACTGTTCCAAAAATAGCTCAGCTGACATGATTGGGAAGAGCTTGAAAAACAAAGGATCATATAACGAATACAGAGATGCGATGTGAGCGGATCAATAATGGTATGCTTCCATTCCTAACCTTCGTAACGATCACCATCGCATATTTCAACACACTTGGCAACGTTTGCGTATTTCAACACATCTCTTGCAGCAGCAGAGCGCATCCTGCAGGGTGGGGGAACGAAAGCCGCCAGCTTCGGTCGCCTGCGCGGACTGCTGGTCCTGGAACGACATGCAACAACGTTGCGAAAGAACCAGTTAGCCGCGAAAGGAGGCTCAAACTGGCGGCTTTCGTTCCCCTACCCCATCCTGCGTGTCTACTATACTACCTCATTGTCGACGGCGTCTGCGTCCTCTTCTGCACTCAAAATTCATTGCCGCTTCTCTTAACGATAAGTCACCTCAGACGACTGGATTCTTTTCAAAACAAACGTTAAAGTCATACATGTGGGCGGACCAACCTAGCCGTTTTATTTTACAGAAGATGTCATGCCTTCTCGATTGTTCTTCCATGCTGGTGTACAGGGTGCTCCAAAAATGTGCGTAATACTTGATTGCTGGTCATTCTCTTGCCTTAATGTCTTTCGAAGTAATTCAAGTACTATTCTGCAGAGCTGGCTCAAGTTCAGATTTGCAACTTGAAGTG